TAGCAGCGATCCGACAAAACCCCCACCCATCCCCCTAGATAAAATCTTGAAAGATATGATTTCTCGTTGCCTATAAAAAGAAATCATACCGTTATACTCATTACCAGTATAAAGTATACAAATGCACTTAGGATATAAATTCTCCGTCATTTGAATTTGGATTTCTCAAACTATATGTATGTATCGTGTCCACAAATGATAACAATGATTTTTATTTAGAGTAATAAATTTATCTTGAGAATCGATTATAATGAAGCCAGGCCTGAAGAAAAGTAACATACCAACTAATCGTAGGATCACTGCTACATTAAAGTCACGAGCGAACATAGAAAATCATAAATCGTTTTACGGATGTATGGTACAGTGTGGTGGCCTTGTCCAGGTAAAATGTACAATACTTGTGCACGATGCGTAATACATGGTGACGTGTTAATTATTTGTTTGAATAAAATTAATGGAAATCTATATTAAAGGACCTACATGACAATACGGCTAAAATAATTATATTTGTAATTATAAAATTTTATTTTAAATAATCACTGAATAGCAGACACTGAATGATCGAATGAAACCGTAAGAAATTATCAGAGCTCCGAAATTCTCAGAATAAAGAGAAAGATTTTTTTTAATATTAATTATAAACGATAGTATATATTGTTATAATGAAAGTTCTCAGGTAGAGAGACTAAAGTAATAACAGATGGAAAGACATTTAATATGAAAATATTAAAAATTTCAATTGAGATACGAATTAATAAAATATTGATAAGATATATTTTTGTTTTTGGTTGATTAGAAAATTGAGAGAGTTTTTTAATCTTTTAAACAAATATAAACTATAGTGATATAGAAATCAATAATCTTGTTCGATTTTCTCATACTGCCGTCGCTACTAGACATAACATGTCTATTATAAATAGATAATGGATCTTTTATATTTTATATATTTTACTTCTCTTTTTAAAATTTTAATTACATTTCTTTAAACTTCAGTCTATTAAAAATAATAATAATAATAATAATTCTAAATAAAAATAAAAGAAAAATTGTTTTCTTTCATCAAATCATTAATGCATACATTTGTATTTGGTATAATTTTGGCATATTTTGGCAATTTTATCAATTTTATCAATTTTATCATTATTACTTTGATTTATCCATTCGGTAATTCAGTGCTGTGCTATTACCGTATAAAAAGAAAATATTGTTCCCACGCTTTATAAAGTATAATTTCACATCATTTTATATTGGAATGTAGATTATGGACTATGAATGTTTTTTATATGATTATTTTAAAAAATATATATATATAATCTCTTACATTTATATTCATACGTTTTGCGATTATATTTCTATTTAAGTTATTTTTCTGTTGTGCATCTGCATCACTATAGTTAACAATGGAACGCTCAATTTTTTATTTCGCTTTATCGTTATGGGAGCATAGATATGCTCTGTTTTTATAAATATTCATACATGACACGAATATGTTTGCGATCTACAAAACAATTGTAACATGAAAAATTGATGTGACTATAGTTTTTCCTTTACTACTCTCTCCGCGTATTAATTAGATCTGCTTTTTTGCTTTTATGCAAACTACAATGCAAAATAAATGCATGTTTTATTGATTTTGAGATTTTTAATATTAATGCTTGTGTAGGTAGGTGAATGCCACTGGTCGACGGTAAATTTAAATGTGCAAATCCTAGCCAGACGATTCAGATTATTCAGAGTAATATTGTTGTAGGAAAAAGATTGTTAAACTCCATAAAGGCATAAACGCAATATATGCATTCTCGAAAGATGATACGATAATTGTGGAATTTAATGTTTTCGCTTAGTCCACGAAATCGTATTGTCTGTGATAAATAAAATTTCCTTATACACGATTTCTGCGTGATCCAATGAACGTTGATTATAGAATAAGTATCATTTATACTATACGATCGTTTTATTTTTTATTTTTTGTAACGAATTGGCTAATTTGTATCTTTAAAGCCATCTCTGGTTGTCGAACAACAACAACACCCTTCCCTGTAAAAACCAACTCTGAACTAACTATAAACTACCTAAGTCTGAGCATCGAAAAATTGTTTAAACAAGAAAATACTTGCCTATTAGCAAATTAACTTGATTGTGAATTAAATATGTGATCGAATTGTGAAAGGAAAATAAGAATGATCCAACTCCCTCTGTGCCGTTGTAAACTTAAAATTGCCGCGCTATTATTGTTAACAATTTTTTTAATCAATGCCCAATTCAAATCCCTATATAGTTCGAGCGGCACATGTAACAAATATAAAATTAATATGGATATAAGTAAGAATTGTTTGTACAGTGTTGTAAGATTAATCATAATTTAAAATACCATCGAAGAAATGTACTAAAGTCTTTGTAAATAGCTATAATATGGTTTATATTTCAAATTCTTATCATGTAAATAATTAAATAAGTAAATTTTAATGTATGGGAACTTTTTTATTTAATCGATCCAATGTCACGCCCAAGCGCTTATCGATGTAATTTTTAAAAATGTAGTAAAATAAATTTCAATGAAACTTTAAGTAGAGTCTAATCAAATAATAGCAAATAAAAAATGTAAAAGTATCATTGGATAGACACAAGAAGCAGTTTTGTCTAAACCAAAGAATTTCAGGTCAATATCCTTGAAATACATCTGATTCCATTTCTAAAAATTATTCGACTAAATATCTTGTGTAATTAATACAAAAACTGACTTTCTAAACTGAAATCTCCGGCATATATATATATATATATTTTTTTTTTTTTTATCCAAGTATTTATGCGTTTCTTATTTTAGACTAAATCTATAGATCTCTCGTCATCATTATTAAATTCAATTCTGATTCTGAATGTAATTTACGGTAATTTTTTACTTTCATTATGCTTACAATTATTTATCAACTTGTGAGATCTACACGTTTAGCATTTTGCATGTCGCAAGTGACTGTTCATCGCAAAGATTAGTTATTCGTGAAACTCGCTCAAGCTTGTTATTAAAATATTAATATATTTGACCTTAGGCTCATGTAAAATTGTGCCTGTCCTATTCTAAAATCACGAATCTATTTGAAATTCTTTGAAAGCACACGCAATAATGATGATTATGAAAAATTTATAAAATCTTTATTTCTCTGTCCTTCTATTTTTTTCTTTTCCCCTTGTACACGCACTTTGTCACTCTCTCTCTCTCTCTCTCTCTCTCTCTCTCATCCACCCCCCCCCCACCCCCTACCCAGAGTATAAACTAGTTCAATTATTGAGAATCTTTTTTATTTCTTATTTTTTCTAAGCTTTTTGATTTTATAAGGTTTTTCCATCGGTATGAAGATGATTTGCAATAATTGGTAGATGCGTACCGATTACATACCTCCTCAATCAATCACTAATAAAATTTGATTGATTGCATTCATTGAGAGCAACTTATTTAGTTCTTTTCTGGTGAAAATATATAGAAATTATTTTCCCAAACTTACCATGAATTCTTCACCATAAATCGACAAATTTGAGAATCTTACACGCCTCTCGCCCTCGCAGCCGCCACCGCCCCATGAATTTTATCTACTTTCGATATTTGTAATCGTAAAAGATGCAAAATACTTATTTTCCAGAATTTGAACAAGTTAATTGTTGTTGTTCCCTTATTACTATTTTATTCACCATACCTATCCATCCGTTTATACGTTTTGACTTTTTCTTATTAGATTCACATAAATATGCAAGTATAATATTCTAGTAAAAAGTCAGACGAATATTCCGCCGTATTTAATACGCAAGAGGTATTCTGTATTAAATTTCAATGAGAATTTCAAAAAAAAAAAAAAAAAAAAAAAAATAAGAAAAACAACGACAAACATATTGCCTCCAAGTTTATCAATAATAAATAACGAATAATAATATTAACATATGTAATGGCTTTGAGTACTTTTGTAACTAGTTGAATATTTATAAAAATAAAAGAAATTGGAATATGTTAATTATCAAACATTAGGGGTTGACGGTATAATCCAAATACATTTCATTAATATATTTCATTGAACTACAAAGTTTTTCATGCTCAATCCTTTATTCCATTCTTTATTTTATATATTTGTATACATTACATAATTTTGACACATTTTTCAAGTACAACTTTAATACTGTTTTTCTCACAAGGAAATTCAATCTTCAAATATTGAATCCACATTGAAAACAATTGAATGAATTAATATTCATCCTGTATCACTATAATTTGCTTATTTATAATTCATAATAATTTTATATTTTAGCACGATACATAAATGGTTTTTATTTTTAACTTCTTTAGCTTTAATCTTTAAATTATTAATGTTGATTGGATGTCATGGTAAAAAATTATGCATTATTTCGTTAAAGTTTGAATATCTATGTGATATTATTTGAATTTTATAGTTATGAAAATTACAAAATTTACATCCTAATATTAACTTACAAGCAATGAAATAAACGCAAGCCAACCGAAATTTTTGACAAAAATTTCGAACAGTTATAGAATTTTTAATTCTTTATCATTACGATTAAAAAGGCGTTTAAAGGATAAATCATTTTAATTTTAATTAACGTAGCGCTAAATCGATTGAGATTTGTTAAAATATTCTACATAATTTTTTACCATAGACAATTCAACATATTATGCGTTAATATTTATTATACCTTTCACGTAATAAAAACTATTAATAACAATTATAAAATGTCTAGGACACACATAACAATAAACAATAAAGTATCGTTTATTTTTAATCAACGTGTTTCAATTAAAACAATCCAATTTTGACATGAATTTTTCAACGTATAAAATACACATCCTAAGCATTTTTCTTCAGCATGACATGTTGGAAAAATCATTGCTATTATATCAAATAATCTTTCTTATAAGAACTATTCAACAAATGGACTAATAAATATTTATAGTACTTAGGGTTCTATAAATAAACATCGAGGAAACTCCATTACCTGGACATATTATTAATTTGTTTTCTTGTTTATTGTACAAAAATGTTATTGTTAAAATCAAATCTAAAAAATAACGTATTTTAAAACGGATTTTTGTCTCTTAGCAAACACGAAAGATATGTGGAAAATATCATTACAATTTATTGTTTATCTTATTAGGTTCAATTGTTTAAAGATATACAATTTTTTTATTATCGTTACGAAGACTTGGTCATATATATATTTTCTATTTGTTTTTTTATTAACACTACAAATGTCACGCACAATATTTTTCTATTTAATATTTAAAACTGTTTTGTATGGATAAAAGTAAAGTATCTTTGTTCGATGTTAAAAGCAAAAGTCACATTTCAAAATTAATTAATAATAAATTTTTTTTTTTTTCGATATTTTAATTTTATTTTAATAATCGCAAACTATTTTGAATAATTTCTAATTTCTTTTACACATTTTATACACGACGATTGAAGAAAAATGTTTTAAAAATTTGACGAAGAATACTACTCCGACTTTTTCTCATTAAAAATATTATATTTAATTTTTGAATTGAATCACGTATAATTATAAATAATTATAAATAATTATAAATAAGCTTAACATATTATGTTCGGGAAAAATTTCATGTTCATTACTCCTACACGTTATTTAAGTGACATAGAAATTAGTTCCTATTCTGGAAATTTTAAACTATAAATGGTGATTCTAACGAATATATTTTATTTTCAATAATTTTACATTATCTGCCTTACGATCATTCTTAATCTCACTTTTTCGTCATTTCGTACATTTCAATAGCAATTGTTGTGCGTTTTATTTTATAATAAATTTAACAAAACTTCGATATGCTTTTAAGGAAAAAGATAATGGTAATTAAATTGTAATAGCAAAGAGCGAATTTTTGTATCAGTTTATTAATCAAGTGATGAGTAGTGTTATTTTTAGATTAACTAGAAAATATCAGAAACTCGCATTATTAATTATTTATATTATGAACTAAAATGAGATTTTAGATAAATTATAAGTAATAATTATGAATATGGTAATTTTTTTTTTTTTTTTTTTAGTAAATTATGCTTACTACTAATCACTAATAATTCGTGAATTTATATAGGCAGAATTACAATATTCAAAAATCTAAATTTTTATACATATTATGGATTTATGACAACCTCATTATAAAACTTATAATTAATTTAAGTGAATAATATACAATGAAGTATGTAGATATGCATGTATAATAAAAATCACTACGATAATACAAAATTATTTGAATGTATAATAATGTTTTAAAGCATTCGTCATTATTTATTAAAGTCTTTATTTAAATATTCAATTTTAGATCTTAAAATATTTCAAAACATTATTCCGAATGAATTAAAAAAAAAAAAAAAAAAAAAAAAAATAAAAAAACAGAGTTCAAATATTTTATTACATATATAACTAATGTAATTATCTTTATTGTATTTTCATACTTGTGACATAAGAGCTTTTATTGCAAGCACGCGGTAGTATATGTGTACAAGACTTCACAATAATGCGAAGGTAATTATCATATGTGACTAGAATTTTTTTTGTTTTTATACGCGTATTATAAATCGTAGTTCGTATGATTTTCCCTATATCGAGAAAAAGATGGGGGAAAAAAAAGAGAAAAAAAAACAAAGCTGTTTTTATTCTAGTCACGACGTTAAGTTCCTCTTTATCATATGGAAATTTTCATATTGTTAGTGAACAAAAGCACCAAATATCTTGAAACATAATTTTACCTTTTAAATATAAGTCAAAGAAATAAAAATAATAAATACATGTATTGTCAGCAAATAACACATTGTATACAAAATTCTAAAAATTTTTAAAATTACAATTACATTAAGCTATATTAAATCCTTGATGTTTATACATATTATTTTTACTTAATAAAGGCATATTACAGTGCAAGATTTTACTATTGAAAAATTCAAGGATTTATTTTTTATTTCATTTGTCGTTTTAATAATGAACTTTGCTTTAGGATATCAAAGTAAATAAATCGTCAACAGGTTTCGAAAAAAAATCTTTCAAGCAGATGGATAATGTTACATTATTTTCAATTATGTCAGAATTCCTTTTCTCTTCTATCTTCTTGGCTGTCGTTTCAAATTTATTAAAATAAGACTACCTAAAACATATTTAATAGTACATTCAGTTCCAATTTAATTGCCAAACTTTTATTGCACTTCTTGGCTATCCAATAGCCATTTTCTTTCCTTTTCATGCTTATGTCATTAAATTTATGAGTTAACATCAACTTATAAACATTCCAAAAAAATGATGAGAAATTTGTAATCTTATTCCTTGGTATGACCAAGACCTTATAAATTTCATGCGACCTTTTTCTTTGTTGTCTTTTTGATACGAGGTAAAGTGGCAAAACTGGAAATCTAAAAGAAAAGAAAATTGAATATTAATAAATTATGTCTATCCTCAACGATATATGTTTAAATTAAGGTTTTTAACACGTTAAGCTGAGCACTTCAACAATATGCTACACCATGAGTTTTAATAAAATAATTTTGTGTTAGAGAGTTAAAAAAAAATGATGTATCTACAATTATAATTTTTCATTGACTATGTGCATATTATACATAAATTAAAATAATGAGTTTTTCTTCTTCTTTTTTTTTTTTTTTTTTTTTTTTTTTTTTTTTTTAAATTTCGTAAAAGTACATATTATCATAATGTATAATTTATGTATAATTGTTCTTTAATATTAAATGAGTGAATATTGAAATGCAGAATCCAGAGTTAATCTAATTTAGTCGTTGTATTTCTGTAATTATTAACATGTTCGTCGTTAAAGTAAACTGCAATGGAAAACGCATTAGTTATTCATATCAGCACACTATAAATTATTCATACGGTTCGTTTGGATTAATCTTCAAAAGCCTCTCGAAAGAAACAAGAAACAATGTAAAAGATGAGAGAGTTGAAGCTAGAGTAGATATTCTTAAACAATCGTTTCATCATTATGAATCATCTCTGAACAATGATCTTTAATATCTTTTTCCGTGTTAGGTATCCGGGATGCTGGAACGTCGCAGTCAATGCTGTCAGATTTCAAATTGACGTACGTATCTCCTTCGCGAGATTTCGTTCTCTCTTCGTTGATCGCTTCTAGTATAACAGTGGTTACATCCAATTCACATTTGACACTCTCGTGGCTACCAGATCTAGATATCGATGGCTCCGAAGTAACAGATTTTAAGTCCTCGTCCTTATCTTTGTGGAAAGCACTGTGGAACATGTTCTTGGGTATTGTCAACAATTTTGAAAAACTTTCCTTAGCTCCGACTTTGGCGTTGTTTGCCTTCTTTCTTCGCTTGATCACTGCACCACCCACTGTATCATTACCGGACGAACTTTTGAATCTTTCTGCTTTTATGACTAGTGTGGCTTTCAGTGCTTTTTCCTCTTCTTCCTCGTCCTTCGTCACTATTGGTATCTTCGGAGCTGGTTTCTTATTGTACTTGCCAGCTCGTTCACTGCAATCGGAATTACTCCTAGAAACACTTCGACTTTCGTTTGCATCTAAAAAAGTGATGGTCTTCCGATTCATAGGACATCGAATATTCGTTAGCGTATTGTTTAGCTGATATAAATTTTCCTGGGATGAAACTATGGTAGCTACTACTTTGTTCGCATTTTGTAATAATTCATTTAGCTCGTCGAGCCTATCGGAACAAACATCATTATTGATCTGTTTAGAATCTATTGCAATGCTCTTTTCACTGGATTGTTTCAGTTTTTCCTCCTCGACCTTGATATCAATTACTGAATTTGCTGTATCCTTTGGTTCTTTATTCATCGATTTTGCGCATGGAGGATCGGATTTACGTGTCGAACTATTATCAGCACTATCATTGACATTTTGACAAAGCTTTAACATATTCGTGTTATCCACGCTTTTCGAAAAAAACGATAATATTTTATATCGCTGATCGATACTCAAGTAAGATAAAGGATTTACACTAGAAAGTTGTTCGATGTTTTTTGCGTGTTCATCTTCTTGCACTTCATTGACCTTCAAATTTTTACGAAAAGTCGTTTTTTTTACAAAGACAATTAATTAAAATTTATCAAATTTTAAATTACCTTATGAAATACAAATTTATGGATAAATCAGAATTTTATATCCCTATAAAGTTCAAAAGAAAAATTCAAAGAAACTTTACCTCCGTTGCTTTTTTCGGGACTGATCTTGGCTTCGTGCGGTTCCGACCTCCAATACTAGCCGTCCTGACTAGATGCTCATTGTTTATCAAATTCCTTTGTGACTGCAATGCCTCCCCGCTACTATACCCGCTCGATATATCATCCGATGACTTTATATTTCTGAAAATCATCACGAACACAGTGCATCTATTTATTTTCAAAAATTAAAAAACAATGGCAGTTTACATTATAATGCTAAAGCTCGGATTTCTAAGTAATCTCGCATTAAAAATGACTATCGTAGTACTTCAAAGCCGTATTCGACTGAAACTCTGCTCGTTATATAAATTGTCGTTATTTATTTAATTTTTGCTTTGTGTATGAAACAATTACTTGAGCAATTTATTTAACGAGATAAAATTCGTGCCAATTCCCTTGTGCATATTCATTCCAAAATACTTAGTTTTTAGAATTGAATTCCTACGTATTATATAATGTAACTATAATAATGAAAATGTAAATCGATTGAAAGGGTAAACTTACGCTAAACTACCAACGGGATCCCTAAAACTTGACTTCCGCATCTCCAAATCTACCTCAGAAAAATACATGTCCATTCGATTATTGCTCGATTGAGTTCTTCGTGGACTGTATCCCCGTCTTCCACCTCTGTCTCTTCGACGAGGTTCTTTAATCGTTAAAAATATATTATCCATAAAACATCCATCGCTTATAAATTAATGTAAAAATGGAATAAACAATGTTGTAAATATATAAGTATTCATATTTTTAATTAAATTTTATATTTTAATGACTATATATATATATATATATATATTATACTTTTAAATATTAATCCGATAGATCGATTAATTATTCAACGAGTTTTTCATGGAATATTTTATTGATAAGATTTATTAATTTTTGTATTGTTAAATCTAAGTAAAGATTATCATTTCGTAGATGTAAGAAATTTTTTTTTATAAATAACGTACTTCATTATTTGGAATTTTGAATATTTCTGTAGTTTTGACATTTACTCTACACTATATTACCAACTCTGTTATTTGAAATTATTATCTTATTATTATCTACTTAGTAAATTGAATAAAATTACCGTCTAAATCAACCTCATCGGGTGACTGCTCTGTATTTTGATTCTCATCCTCTTTCCCGCCTGCCAAATCACTCAAGCTGTAACTTTTTCTTAACTGCTGCACCAAACCACCACCTCCCTATAAATGATTAAGTCCTATGAGTTTCCAGAACAAAAATTTGTTATAAATAATACTTTATTTACACTAGATAATTCATAAATTTCCTTTATAATAATCCATTGTGTTCTAATCATTGATATTATTATATTTTTAACATATTATCCAATTTCAACAAGCTACTTTATCATAAAAATTATTGCTTTTAAGACATTGAACATATCCTATTGAAATTATCCTATAAAAACTCACTATTTTTTAAAGGGATTATTATCATTATCATTGATATTTAATTAACTGAACAATATTTCTATTCAAAAAAACGATTACAGTAAAAGAAAATATCCACAGTAATCGAGTAATTGATGCATATATAATATAAAATATTAATTTATTAATAAAAAGCATAATTTTGTCATAATAAATTATTTAATGGTGCGATATGTGCCATAGTTAGAATGAAGAGTCTAGTGTCTACTTCGATAGTAATATGTTAATATTATTAACACACAAATTTATACTGATTATTATAAAAAAACAATGAGTTTTTGAAAGACATTTGTCAAACCTACAATTTTAAATTTTTAAACCAAACGCCACGATGAATAAGTTTAAAATTTTCATAAAATTTCATACTTTAGTTCTTATAATACAACAAAAAAACAATATTAATTGGACAGTACTAATACATTATATAAGAAATTTGAAAATACATTCGTGCAAGTCGCCGAAATAAAAATAAAATATGTAATAAATGAATAAGTGTGATAAACTAAAAATAAAAAAATAAAAAGCTTACCAACAAAAAAGTTAATGTGTTATCGGCCTTCACCAGTGCTGAGTTTCTAAATTTCAATCTTCACGAATCTTTTATTTAATACTAAAATTTCTTGCACATAATCAGCCTTAAATTTAATTTTTAATTCATTTACAGCAAACTTAGTCTGATGAATAATTTTTATTAAATTAATCAAAGCCAATTACATTTTTCGTTAATAATTATTTTCTTATTGGCAGTATTTTTTTTTTAATTTGACAAATTTAGCAATTACTTTATGTTGAAATACAATTAATTTCAATTAATAGCCTTTTGCAAAAACAATAGTAGTAATAATAGTAGTAATTGGATTGCAAGGAATAGAAGCATTTGGATGGTGGCAAAGTGAATTAGGTATACTAAATTAATAAAATGCATATTTATTTTTCTGATAGAATAAGAAGAAAAAAAGTAATAATTGTTATAAATGAAAACTTCGAAAACCAGTAATCTTTGGAATTCTTCTACTTAATAATAATACTATAAAAGTACCACCAATGTATGAATTCAGATGTAATTCGCTTAGTTTAACGAAATTCATCAGATTACATAAACGCATAAGACAACAATTAACATCTATGCAAAATAATAAGTTTATTAAATTAATCTAATGCAATAACTTTTTTCATACAATAATAAATATATCTCCATTGTATTAACAAAAAATTGCTCTATTGTTTATGTTATTTGTAAATAATCTTTAATCATTTACAATATCAAGATGTTATTGAAAAAACGCCAAAAAAAAAACATTTTCCACTTCAAATTTATTAACTTTGTAATTTTTTTCATATACGTGATAAAGCAATTTTTTGTCAAGGTACTTTTATCACAACTTTTACTATTATCTGTAACAAACAATACACACAAATATAATTATATAAATATCCATTCTTTAAGGCACACTTGTGGCAACTACATATGAAGGCAGTATATTATGTTTTTTCTTTTTCTTTACTCGTATTAATATTATGGCACTCGAAAGTTTGCACACAATACATCTAGTAAATTTCTATTTCTAATAAAATTTCTATAAAATCATCATTTCAATATCAAGTGTACATAGTACTTCATTCGCGTGTAATACAATATTTCATGATATTTTGTGCATTGATAATCTATTTATTAGTAAAAATTGTAAGCGCTTATTTTGCTTCTTTTACTTTTATGAAAAAAAAGTGTAAGCTTCAATTTAGATTATCGAATATGAAAAAATTTAACTATATTATTTCAAATACCTTCGTTCATAAATTTTTTTCATGATCATGCAATTTCTTACACTTTCCCGTTTAATTATTTTGTATCAAGTAAAGAAACACGAGTAAATTAAATTGTTAGATTTGATCGATCCCAATTATGAATTACATTAGCATTCCTATGTAGCCTCCGCATATTATTAATGAGTTACTTATACATATATATATTCGACTAGCTTATATAAAAATCAACTAAAATAAATGATAAACACGACGAGAAGTAATTCTTAAAAATTAATGCTTTTTTTTTTATTTTTTTTTTATATTTTTTTTTCTTTTTATTTTTTTTAAATCGCGAATACAATAAAAAAAAAATTAACTTTTTCATAAACTATAAAAAAAACTTTTTTTCAATCTATTTTGTTTGATCGTTGATATTCCAATTTCAGTCTTTTAAACGTCCATTTATACTTGAAAGTACAATTCATAATTCTTCATCGCGTATGTAGTCCATTAAAACTATAACGATATCAAAGCTTCATGAACTCATCATATGAGAAACGAATGACTTTAGTCACTTGCAAAAAATATTGATAGAATAAAGATTGGTGTCCGAACATTATGTCACATGTCAAACCGAATACATTTGTTTAATTATCAAGACGTTGTTCATAGTTTATGCAATTAAGTTATAGTAGTATTGTAAATTATCGATCGCAACGGACACCTTACACTAGCACTTAAAAATAGAGAATTCATTCGTATGAATAGAAAAAAAAAAAAAAAAAAAAAAAAAAAAACATGAAATAAAAATCATTTGGAGATAATTATTGATTAATCATTGAATTTACTTTAAATATTATTTAATAAATATAAATTTAATTCAATTTTCATCCTTATTTAAATAAGTTACAATTTACTAAGTGAAAAAGAGGATTTATAAATATATATTTAAATATAATTTTTATGTAGCTCGGGTCATTTCTTACGGCAAAAAAAGAAAAAACAAAATAAATAAATATATACGAAAGAAAAATGAAAATTTTGTTTATTTTAATGTTAAATTGCTCTCATTTTCCTTGAAACTATCGCATTTAATCGAATTAACTTCTTTTTATTTATACATTATCGATTCCTTATAAAAGTAATGCGTGAAAGAAAAAAAACTCATTACACTGTTGGATTAATTCGGTATGAAAGTACAAAAAATTCAGCGAGAGAAAATCACACGAGACATATTTATGTGAAAAATTAACTTTCGTTAACTATCATCTATATAATGTATGGATATAATTTTTCTTGCATATTAAAAAATTAAGAGTAGCGATTACAAATTGAGTTTCATAAAATTTTCTTCTCTTTTCTCATTTCCTTAAATGTAATATTGCGCCAATTATTGTACGGAGCAAAATTATTTGAAAAACCAAAAAAAAAAAAAAAAAAAAAAAACAACAACAACAACAACAACAAAAACGAAAGAAAGAAAAAAAAATAGGAAAAAAAAATATTATCGCTATAAATTTCAGAATACAAAGTTTACGAGAGTACAAAATTATAAAATCTTTCTTCGTTTATTCATATTATTTTTAAATTTATTACATCATTTTTATAACTTGCAGAACTTCAATTTCCATGCAAAATGACTGCTAACAATAAAGAATTCCCTTATGTATTTTACCGACACTTAGGGTTTAGAACGACTTGTACATTGCTCGACTTTCACCAAAAATTGAAACTTTAGTTGCATTAAAAAAACGTAATACGAATGCCGACCGTAAGTATCTTATAATAATATGTTTGTGTAATTTTATAATATCTCGAGCGTTGATATACATGATCCATATAGCAACGAGAAAAATAAATTGATGAATTTCCATCGTAAAACTTTTGACGATATCTCATTTAATGAACGAAATGGAAAGTTTTATGACAAACTCAAAAAAACTGTTTAGTTAAATGTGACCAAAAATGTTGGTAAAATAGTACACATCATCATCTCCTAATCGTATAGCCACTCGTCGTAGTCGTCTTCACATTTCATCCAGTTGCTCTGGCTACGAGTTCTGGGCTTCCTGAGCGTCGCCGATTTATCTTTGTTTCTATTGCGCTTGCCAACGACCTCGGTGTTCCTGAGGGTCCCGGACTTATCTCGGTTTTTATTCCGCTTGCCGACGGCTTCGGGGTTCTTGAAAGTCTCCGCTTTATTCTTGTTTTTCTTCAGCTGGACGACGACTTCGGGCTTCTTAAAGTCGGCTTGGTCAATACTGCTGTTATTCGTATAAATCGACATATTGTAATCCATGTTTATATACTCGTCGATCGCCTCCTGCGGTTCGTCACAGTTGCCGACCTTAATATTAAATTCCTCGCTCCTAGTTCGCCTTTGCGTCCTGCACCGAGCCATAGTTGTCCTCGAGTTTGGCCCGTCTGTCTCCGAGAGGGAAGTTGAAACTCTGCGTGTGACTGAGCTGGAAATCGCCGAGTCTAATTGGCTGGCGTCCAGTGAACCATTTGGTACGACACTCGGGAGATTCTGAGTTTGGTTGGTTTTTTTTTGTTTTTTTTTTGTTTTCGAATTTACGCGATTGGTTAAGATGTCGCAGATGATCATTATTTTTTTTTTTTTTTTTTTTTTTTTTTTTTTTTTTTTATTGTTAGAAGGCGAAACATACGATGCGGTACACAATACATTAAGTGCAGGTTTCGTTGATGGCGTAGATGGCATAGGAGTTTTTTTGACAAACAAAAAGAAAAAATGAAGAAAGCAATGAAATTAGTGAATTAAGCACAAAAAGTATTTTTAATTATGCAAGAGTTTAGACGGTTTTGGAATATTTTTAGCTTGTATGTATGATAGCTCATAGAATCTTGTTTTATCGTAAAATATTTTATTGGATTCATAAATAAAATGTTTAAACACTAAAGGCAAACTGTATATATTTTATTGCCCTGTGACCTCAACAATTTTAAAATTAATTTAATTTAATTAAAAAGTAATCACATGTCAATGAATAAATATACTTTAATAACTATGTAATTTTACAAATATTAACTTATATTTTATATTTTGTTATATATTATTTATTCCTGTGAGTTATATTATTTATTCTGTATAGCTATAAATCTGTATTTAGCTACATTTTAATCTGAATATTTTACAATCGAATTGGCATTTCGTAAAATTACTAAAATCCCAAAGAATTTGTATACTTTAAATGAATTTATTATTAAGTTGAATTTTATAATAAATAGCTTTGCCACGTTGATAAAAAAAAAAAAAGAAGACCTTTATAATGGCGAATGTAACATTACAATGGATCTCTTGTAAAAATGTGTTTGTACACACATCATCTTGTACATAGCTGATAATTTGTTCGCGTTAAGAAAAATTATATCGAAAAAAAAAACCAGAATATTTTCATTCTAATATAAAATGTTATTTATTTTACAATTTAATCAGACACTTCCTTATCAAATCACCTTTCGAATAATTTAAGTTATTTAAAATATCTACAGCATCTATACAATATTTAATTACTCTGCGATTGGATATATCGAATCGATCGATTTTAAAAATTAATTGATTCTCGAAATTTTTTGACAATTCCTTCTCTCTGCCCATACGTTTTATCTTCTAAATTTCCAGCGGCTATATAACGATTATTTTGCTGTATAATCGGTATAGTCGACGTAAACAACAATCCAACAAAATATTTTTACAATCGAAAACAAGAGAAATGATAAATAAACACACAAAACTGATAAAATAACAAAACAATAACATAAGACAGGGGCATTGACAAATAAGTGAATAAAAATTCTGAGAATGGGTGGAGTTCAATATTCCAAGATGTTGCGGTTATCATATAAATGGATTGATTTGTTCAAGTACGCATAAGCAACAATTGGTACCTTGATGGCGGTCTGCATGAGGACAGTGGTCGCGTAGTTGACGCTCTTGGTGCCGAGCTGGACGACGGCCGCGTAACCCTGCTCGGTCGCCCTGGCGAGGGCCTCGTCGATCTCGGCTTCGCGACGACTAAGTGCCGGATGCACGAAGCGTCGGTAGAGGATGCTCGAGCCTTTGGTCGCGGGACTCAGCAGCCATATTACCAAGATTATTTTTATCTCGTAGTAAAAGGGGAGCCTGCGAAAAGTAGAAGATACATTTACAATAAATGAGCTGTCTGGAACTTGTGAAATCTTAATGGAAATACGAAGAGTTGCTTGCTTGGAGCAAGGTTGAGTTGCGCAATCTTACCTAGAAGATTTTTAATCGAGTAACGTACGAAGCTTTTCGATTTAACTCTAAAGCTACGTGGACACCTTGTCGCACGTGTAAAAATTGAAAATTGCAACTCTATTCGTAAATCGTGCTCGATAAACCTGCTATTCTTGATACTATCCATTTTCAAAATAGGCAATGCTACTTCATCAATTAATTGCCTTCGATGACAATGAAATGCCAATAATTTAGGTAATAAATTTTCATATTCCAATTACCGACTTAAAAATCCATTTTCCTCAATTTTTCAATTTCTTATTTAATATTCATTTAATTAATTAAGAATTAAATGCCAATCACATTACTTATACTCATAGCCGATAATATAATATGATGATTGCATTAATGGATTGGTCGTATGGGGTTTTTTGAAAAATCGATTTTTATTTTACTTAATCCGTAGTTTTAGAGCGTACAAAAAATATTCTTATAAATTGGTGATGTTTCTGTTTTTAAATCCCATTATTCAAAGCTGGTTAGTGACTTAATAGAGACATTTTTTAAATATAAATAATAGATATTATTTTGTTTTATATTTCAAATTCTATAGCGAGACTGTTTATCTTTATTTTTCTGTATTTTCAGAATTTCCAAAAGACAATAAAAAGAATCCTCTAAGAATTTCAAATTATTGCATAAGAATTCACATTTTTTCAGCCATTAGTAGCTTTAAAAAAAATCTAATTTTCAGAATCAAGCAATAAATTATAAGTATTCATACATTTTTAAGGCGACACACGCAGTAACATAACCTCTTAAGGAATGATAAAAATTTTTTTCGTACCTAAACTATTTACTACTTATGCTTCTAACACTATCAAAGATCCAATTTTGAGTAAAAAAAAAAAAAATTAATTTTTCAATAATTCGACAATACCCAATGTATCGACATCAAATATTCTGTATAATAAAATCAATATAAAGGTAGAAATTTTTATTTTTTTGCTTAACAAAAATTCTTGCAAATAACAAGCTACAGTAATTATTATACATTTTTATAGTTTTAAATATAAAATACAACAAATAAACAGAAAATTTAACAAATGTAAAACAATATACAATTGTTTTTTTTTTAAGTGCACCGTAGTTTTCCATTACGAATTAGCACATTTGTATTATCTGAAAATTTACAAAAAAACTTTTGAACTAAAAATAATGTAACGAAATTAACTTATTGTATATATATTCCATTTAGTTTTTTTTTCATCTTTTTTTGTAAATGTTAACTGAAATAAATAGCAAAAGCAAAAGATTAAGAATAATTATTCTTAAAAATCCAATTATATTTAACTAGGCCCGCATAAAATAAAATACCATTTTCCAAGTAACTATACATTATTCTTCGAAATACAATTCATGATAATACTAAATCTCTAAATATTATTCTACGCAATTGAAAAATATAATTTCTATAATAATAATTTCGATGGTTACATTTATAAAATTATTTTAGTAATTCCTTGGTAAAAGTTTTCATTAAAAGTACATTAACCTTATTCATATTATTTTAATTTGCTTCGGCATAATTATAACATAAATGTCTATTACTGCAATAAAATAAAGAAAAAAATTTTCAATGTTTTATTTTATTTACTAATATTTCCATAAAATTATAATTATCATATATATATATATATTTAAGAGAACCGAGCATATTTTATAATAATTATAGTTGTTGGGAATTAGACTAAACACAAATAATTCTTTGAAATAAACTCTTAACGTATATAATACAAATATTAGGATAATAAAATTATTCTCTTTCTATAGCACGCTGTTTTTTTTTTTAAATAATACAATATCGTAGTGTTATTTTTTATTTAAATTTTTAAAAAATATAATATTTAATTTGATGATAAACAGAACAGTTATATAATTTAAGAAAACCTAATTCGATAGAATAAAATGTTTTCTATGAAAAAAAAAAGGTTAGAAATTTACAGCCTTCTATACTTTTATTCTATACTAATGCGACGACTAATCAACAAATAGAGATTTCATTATCTGGCCAATAGTGAGAAAATTATTAAAAATTTAATAACGGTGCCTCTACGTAAGTGCTGAAGTAGATTTTCAGTTTTACCGGATGCCGTATCGTATATTCATAAGAGCTTCGTATGCGCGTATGAGACACGGATATATACAAGAATATTAATTTAATTTCTCATTACTCCAACTATTAATACAGTAACATTTAAGCTGTGAATTTAAAGTTACATAATTTAAATTCAATGAGCCGCTGAATATATTTTCGCTAAAAAATAAAGTGATTCCAACTCTGTTGTTCAATAATAATTGAATGATAATTATCGTAAGATACATTATTGTTGTTGATGGTTATTTTAAAAAATTGATAAAGTTTTGATGATGCACGTGTGATTGAAAATTTGAAAAAGGGAATGACCGATGGAAAATTCATAGAGTCATGGCCACTACGAAAACAATGTTATCTAAGAAAGTAAATAGCTACAAAACGCCAAAAGAATTACAAAGTTCTCCCAAAGGCGATAAACAGGAGGCACTTTATTGTAAAATAAAGGGAATAGAGAGATAAAACTGCCTTTTACGCCGTTCGAAGCAATCCATTTTCACCGCACGCTGATGAAATAACACGAATATTCTATTCAAAAGCGTTAAAAATAAAGAAGAAAAAATTCATTTTAAAATAGAAAATTAAAAAGAATAAGCTGTAATTGTTTTGATTTCGTAATCATAACTATAACATTTATAATTAATTGATATAATAAGTTTCGTTAATATTCCTTTAAATTTTACATGCAAGCTATCTTAATTTGGAAATCTGTACTTCATCAGATATTTAATAAAGTTTAATTTTAATGACATTAGAGATTTTTACAAAATGACGATTTGTTTTCTTATCGTTAGGTCCTCGTTTATGCTTAATTATTAAAATGTATGTAAATAAATAAATAGTATAACAAAAATGATCAAACTAACGAATCTTGACCAAATTCCAAATCGAATAAGATTAAATCATTAAGAATATTTGATTCTCTGAACTAATAATATGGAACATTATGGACAACAAATGTATAATGTCATATTTATTATGAATATGAATACAATTTCTCTAAATTGACAACGATGCAAAAACGTTCTTATCTGCGTAACATTTATTATGTAGGAATAACATACAAGTGTTACGCGCGAATTTAACGTACAAAGAATTCATTGGCAATTTATCCCGTTTTATAATCTCTCGAAATGATTCGTAATTATTTTGTATCGATGCAAGACAAACTTACCAAAAACTCAAAAACATATCGGTGAATATTTCGGCCGATGTGAAAAGTGCAAACACAATCCAATACATCATCCATTTTACCTGCGAAAGCAATTAAACCATGTTTTACTAATATATATATATATATATATTTATTTATTAATAAAGAAAAAAATTATAATAATAAATTTAACGAGAAAATCATTTGTAAACATTAGTAAAGTATTAATAATAAAAATTGTTTATACCCTCTCACTATATTTTATAAAAAAAATTATGCTTTTAATTCAAATACTAAAATCATATTAATTAAATTATTTACTATTGATTTAAAAATTTTCATTTCAAAGGTAAAATATAAATATAAAATATATAGAAGATAAAATATCTTGTCTACTTTTACTTGGCTGACACGGCGTTGGGATAATTTCAATAGCAAGATAGCATAATTTAATATTTACCGTTCATTAAATGTTATATTACAAAAATCTTATCTTCATTAGAATTTTCATACCCGTTCTTATCTTCTTTCTATTTTATATAACTTGCGTGAAAATTTTTTACATTCGTCTACTTTAAAATTTTTTACACGCATTATTTGTACAGCTGTATATTATCGATGATAGTATTTTTCAAAATTAGATATTGTTCAAATGTAGATGTTAAAATGTATAAATGATTATTAAGGAATACCAAGATAAAATATTATCCTTATATATTATATATTATATGCTAATGGCGAATGTAATCGAACGTTTAAATGTTTTTAGATTGCCGATTGCCAAAGTGGCGGCTTCTTATATCAATTATTGGCGAGGCTTTAAAATCTTTATTTATTAATAAAATTAATTCATATATTTTTTTCAATTCTTTCGTTGTTACTTTAAGTACATCTCATGAATAAATATTGTCTAAGGTGAAAAATATTTTTCAATAGAAAGTATAGCTAATCATTTACTGATATATAATTTATTTCAATAAGAAAATCAATGAATGAAGAAAAAAAAACCTATTCAAGAATTTCATAGGTTCAAAGTGGTTTGATAATAATAAATGCCAATTTAATTGAATTACAATTAACACGTATAATACTGTAAATGCAAAAACATTTATTGTTCCGACATACATCAAGAATAACGGCTCGTTTATTCATATTTGAAAGAAAAAAATAAAAAAAAGAAAAATAGTTTTTTAAATACCTCTGAATCTTAATTCTCCTCAACAATGCAACAATGAATAAATAAATATGTGAACAATTTTCAAAACAAACCTATCTTACCGATTGAAAATAATTGCAATTAAATGAAAAACAAGTTGCAATATTAAACCGATGTTGGAGATTGAAATTATCATAAAAAAAGGCATGAAAAGTAAAAGGAGAAAAACTCACGTATTCCTTGACATTCTTTGTCCTCACGGCCTTGTACGATGCATAGGCAGGATATAGCGTGCCAAAGACAAGTCTGAAAATTGGATAAATGAGGAGATAAGTGATAGCGTTAGGCATAATCACGATCAAGATGAGCGTAAACACGGTGACGTTCTCCAAAGTGAGCCTGATGGGCATTGGCATAATGATGTCGTAAGCCCACATCGCCAACTTCTTCACCAATAGCCACGAGAAACTCTCGTCCTTACTTTCCTGAATATACAGATTGTGCTTCGCGAAGAAGTCGGGGAGCTTCCACTCGCCCGCAAACCTCTCTGGAGTTGTCCAATTGCACTTGGTCATCTCGAGCAGTGGCTTTAATTATTCACGAGGACGTGAGTCGATTGGAAGGCTGATTTCCGTTGTCTGTCATCCATTCCGTTGCTAGTCAACGTTTATCGCTATATCAGCTTATTCTCTCTCACTCTGGCCCCGTCGGCATACACAATGCTCTTAAACCGATAATTTTACAAGAAGATGAAAGACAGCTGTTACGTGCCACGCTCTCAAGTAAATATTTTTATTTTACTCGGAGTGATGATTTATTCCCCCTCAAAGATTGTTTTGCCTAACATGTGCTAAGGAGTCATATTGCAAGATCTACGTGACTACTACGTGGCTACTACGTGGCAGACTATAGGAAAAATATCTAACCTCTTTCTCTCTTAGCTTCTTCAGCATTTATAAGATATTATTTTATTTTTTTTTTTTTTTTTTTTTTTTTTTTTTTTTTTTCAGGATGCATTTACTTTTATTTTATATAATACATCGATCGAGTCATATGAAATTATGAAGATTCTAAAATAATCACATATGGTGTTTGAAGATCAAATGCTTCGACCGACAAATAAGTTTAAGATACACGAATGATGTGTCACTGAACTTACAATTAATATTTTACTCAAAATAAATATCATTATCTCATCCAATTGTGGCTAATTTTTCAAGGTCAGAATGATGTGAAGTAAATTTTTTAGCTTTAAAAGACAAGCGAATCATTGATATGAGAAATAATACTAATCATAACGAGAAATTTATTGTTTTAATTTACCGATTTTCTTTTAAACACTTAAGAGCACATAAAGTACTCGTTAATGTTTAATGTGTAATGATAATTTATTCATCTTCCATTCACCTCAGACTTTTCACATGTTCACTCTTGCACATTCAAACAACAATAATGTGCTGTTTTTTTTTTTAAACGTTTTAATGAAATTTTTGAGAAATTTTTATGTTTGCGGCTTATTTTAATATCATCATACAAATATAAATCATTAAAAGAACGCGTATTACCATTCGTTTTCAACTTAAGATTACTTAGTTGTCCAAGCCATACCATCTAAAAATTGTAATTAATATATAAATAAAAGCAGCACAACTTGTATATTTCTAATGTTCGATGAATGAGGGGGTCGGGGGTCGGGGGTCGGGGGAGGGGGGGGCGTGGATGCAATTACATTGAGTTAATATCTTTTACTTGTCCGAATTTAAGGACATTAAATCAGCATTCGAATATATTTATAAATAATCATTAATATTTCAGCCAACGTTTAATAATGTTTTGAATAAAATTTATTAGCAATAACCGAATTCCAGCGAACATTGCTCAATCAAATTTACTCATCATAAACAGGATGAATTCGCTTGTGATCGATCATGGCTATCGTCAAAAAGATACTTTTTTGTTTTTCACTCGTTTCTTTTACGTAGACGACGCAGCCTTGTTTCTGTTTCACTTCAGTGGCTGTGTTGTGAATGTGCTCTAGACTCCGCGTGCACAACACTGCTTTATTTCACCGTTTCGTTTAGCAATGGTGGCGATACCGTAACATAAAACTTTTATTATTGGAGGCTGACGTACGTATTGCGCGTTAAAATGGGATTCGATGATTAAAGTTGAAGATCGATTTAAATCGCTGATTATTGAAGTTGGTTTTGGTATTAATAGGAATTGCTTCCTGCTATTTAAATGTGATATATTTAAATTTATTACATCGATTTACCTATGTTATACTCGTATTTAATTTTGCATTAAATGATCACCCGTTATGTAAACAGTGATATAATTTATAACGATAAATCATAATAACGAGCAAGAGTGCAATGAAATGTTTATTTTTCGATTTATCATTATCGAATTGAAAATGCGAATTAAATTTAAAAATTTTCAAAACCTTCATAACCTCGGAAGAATTGTCAACGTGTCGATCGTCAACCAATTTGCATAAAATTATTGACAATGTTGTGAATTTATTCAGTGTTAGTCGCTAAATAAGCTTTTAAATTCTGCATTTCTATGCTTTTATGCAGAAAATCATTACACAAATTACGTATAATTGCAATTACATTTACGTTTTTTTTTTAACTATTTTAATAAAGTTTACTTTTAATAAAAATAACAATAAAAATCAAAACTTATCACAACTTTCATTTATATATATATATATAAAGGATCAATATTATTTGTCATTCTTTATTAATCATTTTACAATTATATGTGGAATAAATATTAACGTAATATTGGAATAATTGAAATTGTTATTTCTCTCTTACGTTTGATTCTTAATTATTCAAGTTAAAATTTAAATTAAAATGTTTTTTTTTTAATTTTTTTTTATTTTATTTTTTTTTTTTATAATTACCTGCACTACAATGCAATACAATTCTAATAAATGTTGATAAAAATGGCTCAATGAAAAATACATAATTTTAGTCATTCCTTTTGTATATTCATATATTTTTACTAATAACTAATCTAATGCAAATATCTTTTTCAACGTTTTATGAAAATATGTACGTATGAAAATATTTACGGTAATAACCACTGATATTTTAACGAGTCAAATCTTATGGTAGATTGTGGATTACCACTGATCAATTTATCTACGGCAGAATCAAATTTCACATTTTCGAAAATAGTACTCATATTACATTACTGTGTAGCAGACTGAACACAAATGCATCTAATGTTCAATGTATTATTTCCGTTTAATTTCAAACCCATGAAACGATGTCATTTAGTTTGTAAGTCATAATAATTAAGAAGTTAATGAATAAATTGAACAATCACATATTCGCATATAAATCGGATTGACGTTTTACGTGTTTATTTCAAAACATTAACTTCGATGTTAATTTATAATTATCGATATTAAATTGTCAGCAACGCATACGCGCAATGTGATGAGCGGGGGTTATGAAAAGTATTATACAATTGTAATGACGAGAATGAAGAAATGGCAATGAACGAGCCAGAAATATTGTGCAATTTTTCTTAAGTCAAATAAAAAGAACTTACCAACTAGATAATATTAAATAAAATTATGACAAACTTTCACGAATCCGTCGGTTCAAGCCACGAATCAAATGAGCACTGAAACACTACACTAACCAACGTTGGCCCTCTATACTCAGCGTGTGCTCTTCCGTCTTTCTCTCTCTCTCTCTCTTTCTTTCTTTCTTTCTTTCTTTCTTTCTTTCTCACTACACACACTCTATTTCTATCTCTCTATATATTGCTCTGTTGTCTCCCACCTCTCCCTCCCACTCCCTCACTCACTCACTCACTCACTCACTTGCTCGCTCTCACTCTCTCTCTCTCTCTCTCTCGATGACTGTGGCTTCTGCGACTATTTTCGCGTTGGGCCAAAGCATCGTTAGGCTGTTGCAACAAGCTTTACACTGAATAAAATGAGCGACCGTTTAAAACAGGCCAATCGCGACAGGCGCATGAAATACGGTTTTCTACTTCTGCTGACCGCATTTCCGAATGCTCTCACGTGGTCTTACAATACCAAAATATAGACCAAGGAAGGGGCTGCTTACATTTGTTTTTACAATTCGTCGACTTCCTTAATTATGTGTTTTCCTTTATTTTTTCAACAAATTACTACTACGTGACTCGAAGTGGCCAATTGAATTGAGCGCTGCTAAAGCCATTTATTGATAATCTTAATTATTAAAAAATTAAAAAAGCACCCGAATTATTTAATTTTATGAAAAAAAATATCATTCGTTCGTACCTACCATTTCTTCACTCGTATTATTTTACAGCAAATTTCAATTTTTCATAACTCGCACTGGAAATTAACTCTAAATTCCCATTAATAATTTATCATTCCATATAAAAAATAACCAAATTGGATTTAATATGTTTGATTATATTTTTAAATATCTTAAATAAAATAATTCCTTCTGTTGACGAAAATTAAATATATTCCACTGTTTTTTCGTATTAATATAGCAAATTTTGTAAGTTATGTTTACGTTGGAACTGAAAGTTAAACGTAAAACAATATTTCAAGATCAACAAGAAACTGTAGGCAAATACGAATATGCAACCAAATCTACCATTCTCATATAAATAATATTTCATGAATGAACTTAAGGAAAGTGAACCGACAATTGCAATCATTTGCAAGTAACTTAATGATTATTAGCCGCATCGAAGACTAAATGTAAAAACTGATCGTCATTGAGTCGATTATACATACGGTATTATTCTAAATTGTACGTATGTTTTTCTAATCTTGCTCCTCTATTATTGAAATTGAATAATAAATTATTTAATTGGCATACTATTGTTAATTATTCAAAATTTTTTGCACATTATGATAACATTATTTGAACGATAAATTCATTAATATAGCGTAATTGAAAAGTTAAAAATACTGGCAAATGAATTTTATATAATTTTTATGGTTAACATTAAAACAAAATCAAATTACAATTACAAAATATATTTCAAAACCAACTAGACGTTTCCTTCACATACATAATGATACGTAAATATATTTTTAAATCTGTCGATTAACATTGCAACTTGAGAAATACAGTTAACTATATCTAAGATGTAAATAAATTTCTAAATAAAATGCAATGAATAACTTTGCTTAAAAATTGTTAAAAAACGACAATTACAAGCTTTGTAAATTGTATCGTAGAAAAAAAACTGAATGACAAACCTTGTAAACTGAATCGTAATAAAAAGAAACGCATAAAATTAACGTTTATATATATATATATATAAACAATTTTGCAATATGAACATCGTATGTTTTATATACTCGAAGACATACTATTGTACTACGTCAACATTATGAAAAATTTGTTGTCTAACTAAGGTATCAAGATAAAATGAGTTATTAGTTTGTTTTTTAATAAAATACTGTAAAAATGTTTCTTGAATGATATATCTTGAATTAATATGTTATTAAATTATTTATATTACGATAAAAATAGTCGAATTTTACTTCCTTTTAACTTACGAATAATAAGTAATAATAAATTATTATTCTAAGTTT